CTAACACTCCATTCCAACGGTAACAAGAATAAATTTTTTATATTTTCATTTTTGTTAAAGTAAATGTAAGATGGAAGCCAATATAAGTTATATACTAGAGTTGATCATATATGAATTGGATTAATGGAGGGGTTGGTAGTAGCTAAAAATGCAGAACAGATTAGACCTGCTTTGCTTTACTTTACACACTCAATTCCATTGGTAACAAGAAGAAATTTTTTATATTTTCATTTTTGTTAAAGTAAATGTAAGATGGAAGCCAATATAAGTTATATACTAGAGTTTATCATATATGAATTGGATTAATGGAGGGGTTGGTAGTAGCTAAAAATGCAGAACAGATTAGACCTGCTTTGCTTTACTTTACTTTGCATTGAGCCCACTACACTAACCGTTGTGGTCGCTAAAAATGTAGTATCCCAAGCTAATCCATTAATCAAGTTTTCCCTTTTTGACTAAACCACTCCTCATTCTCTAACTTCCCTTTTTCATAATCCTTCCCCATTATTCTAATCATGGATTATTGTTGGAAAATGTAGGTTGTGGGTACTTAATCTTATATTAAACATGGCAGTTAACCTTTAATTAATTTGGTCCAATTGCTGTGGTTGCTTGGTCTTGTGCCTATATAGCCTTGGTGACTGGAATGCTTTTCATCTGTATGCATATAAAATTATGAGACAAGTCTCAAAATTCCTTCAACAAGGAAATATGAAAATGGAAACGCATAGAGATCAATGTACTTGATCAATTGAGTGAGGCAAATGATACTGCTAGTAAGAGTTTCTCAGATGGATGTTGCTTGAGAGGGAAGAATTAGTCAACAGGGTCAGAAGGTGGTTCATGCAAGTCAGTCTGCACTACTTTAATTTCCTACACAGAGAGTTCTGATACAAGACCATTATGGTGACATGTGATAGAGTTGAAGCATTCAACTCAAATATCTAAGTATTTTTTCAGCTACCTTCTACCTTCTACCTTTTCGTTCCATTTATCCCATTCCATGCTCTTCTAGATCAAATTTTAAAAATCCTGTAAGTTAAAAAATAAATGAATTGTAAATCGCTTATTCTTCTAACCGTTAAAAACAAATAGATGAATCAAGTGTTATGATCAAACACTTAATTATCATACAATTAATAATAGCTAATCGATTTCCAATTTGGTTGCTATTTTGCAAGAAATATCCATAAAAAGGAGGATGACCTCGAAAATCAACGGTTTCGATCATTATACAACATCGCAGAATGAAAAGGAGAATAAAAAAGATAGAGAGAGAGTGCACAAAGAAAAGGTAACTAGCATTCCTCTATCTTGATACGTACTGAGTAAGAGTTAGCCTTACTTTCAAGATGTAGGATATACTCTCAACAGCATGCACAAACAAAGTTCAATATGAACTTGTTGATAGGGTTGGAAGATAATTGAATGGTCTTTAACTCATAAGCAAGCTCAGATGATAACATAACAAAACTGGAAACTGGTTTTTCATGGTTCTTGGCCCCAAACTTGTAGTAGTCACTGGATTACTTAGAAGCACTTGTCCTTCTCCACATCAGATGCATACATTGACTGATACATCATATATACATCATACATGTATAGTACAAATATTGCTTGGACATTTGATGGACCAAACTTAGGAGAGATAGACAAGAATTGGGGCAATTCCAAATAATCTTAGGAGGGGACCGCCTACTTAAATAGTAATGGTTCCAAGCCCCAACAATATGGTGAAGATGGTGTAGAATTCAATCCACCCAAACTACTAGTTTTTTGCCATCTTTGTTGTTGTATATACTTTATCTTAGTAGGTTCTACACACAATTCCATATCAACCCACGTGTATGTGCAAATAAAATCATACCAAGAACTGTGGAAATATAACTTTTAAGACCCTGCAAATAAAAAAAATTTAAGAAAGAACCCTAGACCCCCTCTCAAAAAAAGAAGGAAAAAAGAGCATAAACTGCTGATTGCCAGTGCACTTTGTATCCCTTTTACTCATATATTCTTTGTCAAAAGATTGTTCAGGGAGAACTTCTAGAGTGAATCTACCTTAAAATCTGAATTCCACCCCATTCCCTTTCACTTTTCTCTTTAGCTAAGCAAGCAAGCTTTCCTTTCGGTTCACTTCATAAGCTCACATGTTACCTTTTGATTGTATTGATCCTATTTGCTTTGGCCATTAGAAGCAACATGCTTACAGCTTGAAACTTAATTATATTTCTTAATTAAATCACTAAACACTGCACACAAACTATTGGGAGGGGGATTCGAACTCGGGGGCAAAGTGGGGAGCACATCCGCTCTAGCAAACTTACCTAAACTCTTGAGCAGGTTAAATTAAACATGAGTAAGACAAGTAATTAAATGTGGAAGTTACTTTGGTAAATGGAATCCACCCTCCCTCTGATATGATGCCGTGGTGAAAACGTTGTCTCACTGCATCAAATCATAGTTAAATCCAAAGAATACAATATGATTTAATTCATCTAATCACAATGCCCTTCTAATAAAAATTATTCGTCCACGCAGCTTGAGAGAATCTGATTCATAGGACCAAAATTGCTGGACAAGATTTATATTATGTTGGTTCAAATCAAGGTGAGCTACCATTTGGTTTGAAGTGACACGAGAGTTTGGACATTTCTTATATGGACAAAACTTCTTTTGGGTTGAAAATGAAAAACAAACATAAAGAGGGTCATGAATTGAGGTGCAAGTTGAAATTGGGTTGCGTATGTGTCATGTTTGGTTGTATAAATTAAAACTTTCTCGTGATTTAGTTAGTGGAGTTGAAGTTGTTTTTAACATCTGGGCCCTCTCATATCACGCAGGGATTGCACACGCAGGTTTTTCTCCTTCCTTAAGCAAGAGGCAATGAATCGCATATCATTGCTAGATAGAAAGCCATGCCCAGTATATATGCTTATGTTTCCTTGTCCACAACATACTTGGTTGATGGGTCTTTCTCCATTGCGGATTACAATTATGCGGATTCAACCGTTTAATTTCATGTGCGATGGAAGTTTAATACAACAAGCGTGAACCGTTAGATCTCCACCGCACAAGCCATCTAACAATTCAAAATAAAAATCCGTATTGAATCCGCATAATTATAATCCGCAATGGAGAAAGAGGCCTTTGTTGATAATGATAATTGCAAATCCATCATTTTCTTTCATTTGTAAGTGCTGCCATGCCCTCTATGTCCCTTGGCCACTCATGGAATGGTTATGATGATTTATGTCTTTTTTTCTTTTTGAACGTGAGATGGGGAGGTGGTGTCATTGGGGTTTGAATCTAAGACCATTCATCTGCAGAAAAATGCTCTCACAATTGAGCTAGGAACTCATAGGCAGGAATTTATGCCATTTCACGTAGTAGAATAATGTAAGCAATTAGTGTTGGTGGATCAAATACAATTGTCTCACATTGAATAAATGACATTCAACCTTAAAATTATCAAACGGATATCTTTTTAAGTTACATATTGTCGGTGCAGGGTAGACAATTATATTAATGATGGATAAAAACTTGAACAACCCGGCAAACTGACCACGGCCAATTGAACCAAACTGCAAATGTATATTTCACGCTCGCATCAATGTAACCCTATATGATTGCTTACTTTGTATAATTCTTCTCCCATGTTTCTACTGTTTAGTTGAATTTCCTTTTCTCCTAAGTAATGCAAAAGAGATACGGAGGATGATATGGAGGGGCCAGGGTGCATGAGTTACTAACCATATGACCTTTCACTAAATGAATTGGTTTGGTTCAGGTAGTCTTCTAGTTAATGTCAAAATTAATACAATCCGAACTGTTCTAGTTGATCGATTCACGTTCGCATTAGCTTGAATTCAAAACCGACCCAATTCAAACCGTGCTCACCCCGACTCGTTCTTGGACGGCTAAAGTTGCTAGTACCCTATTTCGACCTCTTTCCACATTTTCCACTTTTGGGCTTTGTGGACCAGATTTGATGAAATTACAGTGTCAACATTTTATGGGCCAAACACAGTACCACTCAACCCAATAAAAGAGCCCATTGCCATTGATAGCCTCCTGAGCTCTCCACCCAAACTAAGTACGATAGCACCTCAGCACTGTACAGGCTACACACCGCAGTGAAGTTACTC